ATATCGAATGTTAATGTTTCTACGGAATTCTGATGCATGAAAAGGCGAATAGAAGATCCGTGCGAATCATACAGAACTGTACACATAATTTGGTCAGCCAAGAAATTTTGTTTCTTAAAACAAACTGAATGCAATCGTTTGATGCGCTGTAATTATTTGATACGCATTCCGATTCATGATCGCAATTGAACCTGTGCCTGAATTGTGGAAATTCACTCAATTATTGCTGCATCCGATGCACAAATTGATATCCCATGGTTATTGGTTTTAGGCAAGAATAACAAAGTGTTTTTCATCAAGTATTCAGGGCATTACGAACGTAAAATAAATTGAATGCGCCGATCGATGTGGAGATATTGCAGCAGATACAAAAAACTTATTTTATATGATCACAATATGGTTTTAAAATTCATAAAAATTAATGGCGAAATTGTATAGAAATCAAATTCGTATATTAATAATATTATTGCCGATCGATAAATATAATACTTTTCAAGTCAAGTTAACAACATTAACACAGTTCAACATGTTTGAATGAAATAATCATCGAATAACATATAGACCTATCAGCTGCCACCATTTAAACTGACATACTCTTATAGTATGCAAACTATATGAACTTCTTCTGCGCGTGAATAAAATGGAAGAGTTTGAAGGCGGCGAACTTTCGAATGCGAGCATGTCGGTTTGGTACCGCTGGTTTTGCATACAAATTGCATTTGAGCAATAACAGCATGAGGTACTTGCTAATCAAAAGGCTGAATGCAAAAGGCTCAAAAAGCAATGACCGCCACTTAACGATCAATGCAACTATTCAGTAAAACTTAATTATTTATGAATGAAAAAATGATCCCCTTATGAATCTGCAAAATGCTAAAACCCAAAAATGCGGACAACCGATGATGAATAAATTCTCTGTTTATAAAAGATGGAGGATCATTTATTTCTCATTACGTCTAGCCTCAAAATCACCTTCTTGTTCTGCGAGAAGCGGCTGATTTGATTGTTGACGAACACATCATAATATATCAATTAATCAAAAATAATAATTGAATTCGAAATATGATAATGTATGTTATCGGTTCAACCGACGTACGCCAATAAATCCTTCGAAGGTTCATTATCAATCAACCAAAAGATGAAGTCGTGAAATAAAACTGTTTTGTTTATGTGTAAGTCGGTATGTGGTGCTCTGGCACCGACCATATTGGCGGCGAACTTTCGAATGCGAGCATGTCGGTTTGGTACCGCTGGTTTTGCATACAAAGACTGAGCTGAAACATCTGGCTTGTACGCTACTCAAATCATCAACGCCAAAACGTCGTGCATCTTGTGTATGCAATCATTAAAGTTGAATTACGAAATGCAACATCATTTCGAAATTCCTTAATGTCACTGTTCAATTGTAAAGTTCGTTAGAAATGCAATGATTTAGAAATTGAAATTGAACGGGCTATCTCAGATGAGAATTTTTTAAAACGTTCATTTCCGTGACATCACACACGTCAGTGATAACGTAACGCTAACAAGTACTACGTTCCATACTTGAATGCATTTTCATTTATTGAATTAATGACTTTTGACGATTTTCATAAGGACGTGATGAAGAATAAAGGATGCATATATGTTTAGTCTATAAACTCAAACAAACAGTTGATTTGAACTGGTCTGCATAACGAAAACACAAAGAACAACACCAATCTAATTTACATTCATTTCAGCTTCACTCATTTTACTTTAGCAATTTGTTTTTATATTTCACTGACAACAATGATTAAATGTGCTGTCAATAAGAAGTTTATAGACAGACTGCACGAAACAATTTCGACTCTACGTTATTGAAATTGTTCAAGTCGAAAACTTTCAAAAAAGTGACCGATTGTTACGGAGAACTGTTCTTTAGAGCAAAAAAANAAAAAAATAGGCTTGCCGATAGAATAAAGAACTGAATAGCGCAACATAACTAATTCGATGGAATACGAAGAGAGTGGTGTGATTCTGTGAAGAATGAGGAAGTTTGGAAGCATTCACTACATCATACTCGCTCACTGATAAAATAAAACGTAACATCGATTTACGATGAACTGCTAAAAATACAGTTGGGTAGGGTTGAATAGGTGCGATTATATTCAATTCCATTTCATTCTGAATGAAGAGATTAATCCATATTAATCGATACCAAATAATATAACGCATTTTCGGAGTCATTAATCAATGATATCAAACGGTTCTTCGCTATTATGATGAACTTTCATTGCAAATTCAGAAATTTTTCAGAGATACATTTAAGATCCATTGGTGTTCGGGATGAAAATACTGATTGAGGAATAGACGGGCACGTTTGTGATGATTAATTATAACTATATTCATAACTTGAGTAAAAAGAATTGGATGCATATGTAAGTGTGAGAAAATGATCAATGAAAAGATAGTAGTACGGAAATCGCTGAGAAAAGAATCAATAGCAAGCCGAAAAAAAAGGAGAATGAACTTGAAGAAGATGAAATCGTGAATAACAATTGGATGGAGTGCATAGAAATATTAAGTGTGGAATGAAAGGTTTGTTGAATGAAGTAAGCAGATAAAGAGGGATAGATATACATGCATATATGAGCAGTATAAAGCATTCGATGAAAAGAGTATTGAGGCTTTTAGCTGATTGGGTGCTTACTAGAGAGGACATACGAAGTTGCTTAGACGAACTGATTCTTGTTCATAATTATAAAACATCAATAAAGATTAATATAAATCGTTTTCCACTTCTCGCATCCTCCATCAACTTATCCGCCGGTGCAATCGAGCAAAATGAATAAATTAAGCTCATCGAGGTATGAATAAACCTTGTGCATAGCACCTAAAACAATCTTCTCTGTTCAGATGTGTGTGAATCGTGCATGAAATGACTAATTTGTGTATCCAAGTGATTTTTTATTTCATCACTTCATCGATTTGCAGCCTCGAAACTCTTAAGTCACCAGGTTATTTCGGTGCAAAGATTTCAGTTATTAATTAATCATGATAATTTCTAATTTTAAGTTCTTCACTGAAATAACTTAACGCTGTTATTTTCCCTTCTTTGTCAATGCACCACCGCACCACGCTGCACGCTCATTGATTGTTCAGTTTGACATTACTCAATAGAACTCCGATGGCTCTCTCGTTGCATGTATACCAAACAATAAAATAGAACATTGCACTTGTTCCTTCATCAACCACAACAATTTTCCAAGAAACAATCGCGACTAATGTGAATCTACTTTGTGTGCGGTTGACAGATGGCAATTTTTTTATTCATCACAATTTTTATATTTTCATTACAGTTTCTTTTACCGCTCAGCAGATTAACAGCTTTTTTTTTTGTTTAGGGATCTGATTTGCTAAACTGTAAGTTGTGTGTTCTATTCTACTTCTCATTCGTTCCCAGCTGTTCAGTTAATGCTGATTCAATCTGTGTTTCATTCCCTTTGATAAGTGATGTACTGAGAATCAGATGGAGTGCATTTTCATCATGTTATTTGAACGTTTCTTTCAAACCGATCATCTGCTCCTTGTTTTACTCATTAATATTATCATTTGTTTGCAAAGGCATTAAATCTTCGTATGCTATTCTGATATTACAGTAATAACACATGTAACGTAAACAAGGAGTGGAAGTATTCCCACAACTCATCCGCGAAATCAGCGGAAGAGCCTTTTTGTGTGAGTTGTTTTCCAACTCAGGCTTCTCTCGTTTTCGCGGTTCCCCACTCAATTGCCATGAGTTTTCGTCTTCACTAAAATGAGAATGATGAATGTGTTTTGGTGCTAGGGAGCGATCTTTTCATATTTGAAGCCCAAAGTTATCCAGCAAGGCTGCATTTCAGACAAAAACACGATCTTGAGCTTACACGTTTCCGAAATAGCATCTTGGTTCATTGGTTTTCCGTTACAATAGCTGTGAGAAATTAAAGAGAAACGATTCAGAAACCAATCGAGCGATTTGGTGCTCGCAATAATTACTCAATTTACTAATAAAACTAATGCGATATGCTCATACGTGTAAAATAGATGCGATAAAATTTCTTTTAAAGATAGTGTTTAAAAAGGACGGTCCATGTATAATGAGAGAATAATTGGTCAATGGACAAACCTCAACTATTTGAGCAAACTCAAGCTCAGCTCGAATTATATTCGGATCCAGACTTGGAACTGCTCTTAGGGTAAGCTAGAGGGAGATGCTGGTAGGACTGGCTGAGTTTTTAACTCACTATCAGCCGATTCGTAAGCACAAAGCAAAAATGAGTGGAAGCAAAACGCAAAACCTAGCCGGTGAGTAAAACGGTCGTACTCTTCAGTGATTTCCGGGTCGCGCCCCACACCACCCATACTGCCACCAAAAGTATAGCTGTGACCAGTTATGCAGTAATCAACCGAGTGATGTTTCTGTTCCACCCTTTTGGCAAACCGTTCTAGTCCGCCCTTCACTTGCTCTGTTCTTCAAGTCATCTTTCTGTATTGTTCCTTGGAATAGAACAGTCCGAATGCAACGGAAATATCACCGAACCATCTACTCGTTATTCGCTGAATGTCTCAACGCCTAAACAACGTTCTGCTACCCTTTTCATTATATCGCTTCCTCGGACTCTCTGCTTTTTTTTTTGCATTATTCCTCGGCCGTATATCAAGTGTGCACTGTTATCATTATGAGTCTGGGCCAGGAAAAGCCTGTAAAGACTATATCCGATCGAGAAAAGTTTCGCAGCAATCAGTATGTGAGGTTACCGCGCGGTTAGGCTGGCTTTCACCATTAGGATGAGGCTCACACCAGGTTTAAGATGCAGCTGCTTGCACCAGGGCATGTTTTGCTTTACATTGTGGAAGAGAGAGGATTTGGGAAAGAAATGCTCATGATCGAATCACACTGATTCAACTAACCCCTTTCTGATGTATACTTGAAGTACCGACCTGTTTTAATGTGTAGAACGAATGTAAGATAACATTTCTCAGCTGAAACCTTGCAGATGGGAAGACCGTTTTTAAAATGTGGCCTTATCCTTGATTGGCATATTCCATCTAAAGAAGTATCAATGTGTTTCGTCGATGAACTGAATACCCTTCTTCGTAACAACGAATATGAACGTAGATTGAAGTCACCTCAAAGGATGTCAAAAAATCGACAGGATAATCCCGATGTCATAAACGATTCATGTGAGCTTTCGTATTTCACTTTTCTCGATATTTCAATGTACGCTTCTGATAATCCGATACATTTGATTCGTACCAGTGGCTTCTTATCAAATATAAATTTAATTGGTTGCGAATTTTGCTTGATTGCATGCAGTGAGAGTTATTATTCCAGTGGAAACTACATCAGGATTAAATGAATTGGAACGTACGAAGCAGGACCATTTGGAATCCAAAAGCAAGGTTTTTAATTTAGTTTCGTGAATACTATCCAATAAAGTCTTGCATTTAGCACTTATCAAGGCTAAGAAAAACAGCGGTCTTGATGGCGTCAGTTTCTGTGTAGATTCAGAACTGGATCTGATTTTTTTCTCAGGATTAGGTTCAATTCTTGGTTGTAGATTAACTCGCGCAAATACCCATGCCTCACATTGGGCCCGAGCTGAGGTTTTATTTGACCATCACTTGATATGCTTTCCACAGTCATAGTAACTATAGAGTGAATTAAGTTTTGTGATATTATGGTTTAGAAGCGGGGAAAGGACACACGCTTCCCCGTCCCTCCACCTCAGTATTCCGATATGGATGTTATCGAATTTCAGCTACGCATTGCAACGATTGGTCTGCGATCAGTATTGCGGTCTATGCAAAAAGGTGTAGTCACAATGGTTTTCCTTGATGCAAATTTGCTAAGACCATCTGCTGTTAGTACTGTCTTAGGGCTGTACGCTATCAGGTATGTAGTTTCTGTTTTGTTCAAGTCCGTGTATCTTGATTGTACAAATCTTGCTTTGAACTGTATCAGCGAAGAGTCTTCTTCATAAAGAAAAAAGCAAGAGATGTTATCAATTTTACTGAGAAACATTATTGTCAGTAAGGAATTTACTTCTTCTAATCATCGTTCATTCGATCGAGCAAAGAAGTTCAACTTATATTTAGTTGTAACGCAGTGAATGTCTATGCTCTGGAAGGTCTCGATGTAACGATCTCAAAATCGCTAAACTTTCGTGTTGTTGGAGCTGTCGGATTATGCGAAAACGAACAGACGGACGCAATTTGTACAAAAGCAAAACGTGAATTACGTCCAGTAGAAAGGGTGTGCACGGTTAGACTACCTAATGTCTTTACATAGTATTTGTCAAAGTGGTAATACTTTTTCCTGTCATTTTGCGTAAAAGTTTCGTTAGTTACAGCGTACATCACGAATGTCGATGCCGTTGATAGCCGCCGAGTTGAACGTTTCATGTGGAAAACAAAAGAAAAGTGGCAAAAAGAAGAAAAAAAGCAAACTAAAAGTGAATTTCGTAACTAATTAGTGGATTTTCGCAGCCAATTAGCAGCAACGCTTATTGCTGTTCTATTGAGTGGTCGTGAATTTGGTCGTGTAAGTTTTCGTGAATCAGTTGAAGACAAGATTTAAAAAAATCAAAATCATATTTCGAATATCATTGTCGTCTAAGCTTCTCTAGACTCGGGAATGAAATCTGAGTAATTGAAAAGTGGTTTAATGATGTATATACTGAATAATACTGCTGATGATGTGAAAGTGAAATAAAGCCATTGTCGAAGCAAATCAAATTGGAGTCGTCTTCGTGAAACTTGAAATACACAAAAATACATTCGATTTCGTTATTTTTAATGTTCGTTATATCATCTCCTTAATCTAGTGGTTCTCACGCTCGGTTGCTCCATTACCTCTTTTGACGATCTGGCAGGTGGCCGTTAGTTGGTCTC